AAAAAAAAAAAACCTGGGAGCCAGATTATGGGGAGGAACTAACCATCATCTGCCTCTAACTAACAAGATAAAAAGAACCGAAGAGTTTTAAACTGGCTAAGGTGGGTTTTCACTGGGGGGACAGTGGTAGTGTTTCTCTGAAATAAATTCCCCTTCCATCATGATTTCCCCAAAGATGGCCCCATTCTTCCTAATGACTGACCCCAGAATAATTCCCCAACCATTATGCTTCCTACAGTCCATGGGAGACATAGGTCACTCCACAGTAGGATTAGCCATTATTCCAGGCTCCAGGCCACACAATTCAGCCCAGCCCAGCCCTTCTCAGGCCCTCTGGCTGTCACACATACCTGTCCACCGTGGCCAGGGTTGGGGCCCCACGGGCAAGGTGTTGTCCCAGCACGTGACTGAACACCTTTTTGCTTTCCCTCGCCTGGCAGTAGGTGCTCCAGACAACTCCACTCAGAAGGATCACAAACCCCACAGACAGAAGCATGTAGGCTGGGATGAGCTTCTCCTGATAGTTCAGAATGGAGACAGAGGAAATGAAGACGGCTCCCAGGCAGACCATCAGGAAACCCATCAGAAGGGAAAGAGCGCAGATAATGAGGTCAATTTTGATCTGCATCCTCGCTCCTGAGGAACTCAGCGCCCTGACCCTGCCGCTGTGCTCCAGGAGAATGAGCTCATTAGCTAGCTTGCGGCTTCATATGCTCTGGGCCTGGCTGGTCTTTGGACAATTAAATGAAGCAGGCACTTAGGAGCTATTCATTAACCACTGAAAGTACCCGTAATATCCTTGGAGGACTGGCCTAACAACATAGCATTGTGTATTGCGGGCAGAGTGACGTCTCCAAGGCTGGGTATGACACTTGACTGTTTCCAGTCATTTGAGCATATGTCCCTCATTCTTTAAAGGGCACTGGCCTCTTAATGACCCACAGAGGGTAATTTTCTACTAAAAACTAGGCAAATTAGCATTCTTTGAAGAACCACCTTCTCCGTGGTTTAGTAAGGAATCCTTTCCTGCATCCTTCTTTCTTCCTTTGTACTAAAAAGGCATTTCTTCAAGGTTCTTAACATGTCTTGACTCCCTCAACGAATCTTGCTTTAGTGCACCCACATGATGATATCGGAAACGTCCCAAGACAAAAGTTTAAAATGTAAACTGGCTGGCTCCTGCTCTGTTGACGGGATGGTGAGCTTCAGCAGGAGGGGAGGCAGGATGTTGGAGAGAAGGGTGGTCAAAGCAAAGCCCTGGGGGTTTCCTGGGCTCTGAAATGCTGCAATCTTTTCCCTCTCGTAAAATGCCCATTCGCTGAAATTTGTTTTAGTAGATGCTGCTACAAAATGTTCCCTGTCCTCTCCCCACACCTTTGTTCTATACAGCACAGCCTTTGTATTCTCTCAGGAATTGCTTCTTTCATCTTGATGGTCTTTGGTTATAGACACTTTATTCCAGATCTAGTTTATCCCCTGATCCCTGCCTTTTTTTTTTTTTTTTTTTTATCTGATGGTTTGACATGTCCCGGCCAAAAGTCTCTTTCCCAGAGGAACTCTTTCTTGGTCATGCTTGCCCAGAGAGATGACCTTCCGTTCCTTTGTACCAGTCCTCTCCCCACTCTTTCAATACCATTATTTTCCACTTACTTTCCTGGTGGGGAAAGCAGTGCGTTCTCCTGCAGTTCGCTCTTTCCCCTCTGGCCTCATACCCATCACCTCCTTAGCTCTATCTCCCTGTCAGGGCTGGGAGAGAGAGAGAGGAAGACACTGTGGGTTGAAAATGATACAAGGCTGTCCCTTCCCTTTACTCCTACCTTTATTAGCTTCAATCCCAACCCTGGACTACTTCCCCCTTCTACTCCAGGTATTATCTTTGTAATCTTAAAACAATTCTGTCTTCTTCCTTTTCCAGTTTCCCTTGAGGTAGGCAGGTTTCCAAGATGGTCCCTGATGACCTCCACTTCCCAGTGTTTGTGTCCTTGTGTAAGCTGTCCCCTTCCCTTGAGTGCAAGCTGGACCTAGTGACTTGATTCTAGCCAGTAGAATATGGTAAAGGTGATGGGAAGTCACTTTCATGATTTGGTTACAAAAGAACGTGACTTCTGTGTGGCTCGCAGGATCTCTCTGTTGCCCTCCTGGCTGCTGCCCTTTGAAAAAGGAAGCCGCCATATTGGGGAGGCCCCAGTGTCGAGGAACTGGGGACAGGTTCTGGTTAACAGTCAGTACAGAACTGAGGCCCTTAGTCCATCGGCCCACGAGGAACTGCACCCTGGGACTGTGTGACCTTGGAATCAATCCTCGCCTAGGTGAGCTTTGAGGAGCACCTTGAATGACAGACCCTGCAGTATGGGGTGAGTCAAGTCACGCCCACATTCCCAACCCACAGAAACCGGATGATGAGAAACATGCATTGTTTCAAGCTACTAAGTCTTGTGACAGTGTGTTAAGACAGAAATAGATTACTAAAACAGTTTTTTAGGACTTGGACATCAGAGGAGACTGTCCAGATTAAGTGGCTATCACAGCTCCTAGCACAGAGAGAGTGGCCTATGGAAGTTAGCGATAATCGTTCTCACTGATGTTGCCACTGTCATTCCTGAAGTAATTCCAGACAGCTGTGAAAGACTCAAGCTGAAAGGCCAGTACCAGGAACTGAGTCCCACTAATAGGTAGATGACAGAGTCACCATTAAAATCAGATTAAGGAGGGACAGTGCCTTCAGTGAGAACTGCCCGTCCAGAGGGTGGGGCTTCTTTTTTTAGGCAAAAATGTGGGAATAAATTCGGCTGCAGATTATGACAGATCGGGCCTCGTTCCTGTGATCACATCAGCACGTGAGCCAATAAGTGTCTCTATACTTTCCCTCCTGTCTGTAGCAGTGAAGGACCCTATAACCAGGGGCCTCACTGTTTCCAAAGCAGGTTCTTCCTTCTGATACTCTTTGGGGAGACTCCTGTCATTCTGGAGCAGAGTTTTGGTGGTGGTGGTGGTAGTCACGGTGGTATTTTTTGGTGACTGGATAGGAAAGAGCAAAATCCAGGAAGTGGCAGAAGGATAGAAAACCTCAATTCCTTTACATAAAATGCATATAAAATAAAGAACAAGTTCCTGGTCTCGGGGCATTTTAGGAGCTTCCTTGGAGTGAGACGTGGCATCAAGGGTGAAGCTGTAGAAGAATGTGTAGTATATAAGGGAAATAGATGGAAAAGGGGGAAAAAATACAGAAATATGAACTATCACAGGGAAGCACATACCTCCTTCATAATAATTAGGAAATATTAGTGAAGTTGACGTTGGTTTTGTAAGTTTGTGTTTATTATATTTAAATCTATGTTACTAAATAATTTGCCCAAATCAATGACTTTTTAAAAAATTCTCATTATTTGTGATTTCCCTATTATTTGTGTTACCATGTATCCTCTTTCCCCACAACCATCAGTGGTAATGAAATATCAGAAACATCGAGGGGAAGAACCTTATTCTTCAGCCATACTAAAGGGGTAGAAGGAGCCCAAGCTGAACAGCAGTTGTAATAACAGAAGAGAAAAGTAGGCCACATTTTCAGGGCTAGAGAAAAATAAAAGGAATCCAGTAGATAACTTCTTGGGGGAGAGGGAGTCTGGTAAGCTCCCACCTACCAGGTACAATGTAGGGGGTTATGGCACACTGCCTGGGTAAAGGACTCAACTGCAAATAGGACTTTACCTTACAAATACAAATAACGTCACCTAATCACGTGGACCCTCATATTAATCAGGAATCAAAAAACCATTTATTTATTTATTTGTTTGTATGTTTTTATTTATTTTTTTGAAACAGAGGGTCACCCTCAGTAGAGTGCTGTAGCATCATAGCTCACAGCAACCTCAAACTCTTGGGCTCAAGCGATCCTTTGTCTCAGCCTCCCGAGTAGCTGGGACGGCTGGCACCTGCCACAATGCTTGGCTAGTTTCTAGAGACAGGGTCTTGCTCTTGCTCAAGCTGGTCTTGAACTCCTAAGCTCAAGCAATCCACCTGCCTTGGCCTCCCAGAGTGCTAGGATTATAGATGTGAGCTACGGCAGTGCCCCCCCACCAAAAAAAATTTTTTTTTAAAGAAAAGAATTCAACAAAGTAGCAAACACCAAGAAGGTAACTTCTAGGTAAGTGGGGCCCTCTGGGGGCAATACCAGCCAGCTTTCCTGTTCTTGCCCAACCTGGAAATACTCTGCACTGATTATGAGAGTAAGGGCCAAGAAAGATTGATGAATCATCTGAGTTCAAACAGACATCATGGCACTGATACTCAGGAGTACAGCTCACCTGTCTAAAAGAGCAAAATTTTAGAACCCAATAGATGCAGGACCAAGCCCTCCTTATCCCTGTTCCCTCCCCTTCTTAAGAGACCCACTGAGGAAATGATGCCTTATTTTCAAACCAGCCTATTTGTTTATTCTTCTTCTTCAAAATTCACCAATCAGCAAAAGTGTCTGGCTTGTCAGTAACTTATTACTAGGTTGACAGCCAACCTATCTAAAACCATAATCACGCTTTCAACACTCTGTCCCTTTGAGCCTGACAGACCCATGAGACGTGTTCCGAGCACGGTTCTGCCTTCCCGTTCACGTCAGCGCCCCAGGAGCCTCGCCCTTTCCTCAAACTCCCTCCTGCAGCGCGTGAACACCTTGGAACATCTCCCGGTCCAGTCCTGTGCACTTTCTGTTTACTGGGCACATGGGCCAGGACCCTGCTCTTGAAAACAGGAAAAGCGTATTGCTCTGAATGAGAAGTCGATGGGGACTTTGGAAAGAAGCTAATGGTGTGTAGAAGCCATTGCCCAGGAGGGCCACGGGGCCAGGACATGAGGCTCAGCGGCCAGATACCAGAAGGTCACTTTGGTTTGGAAATGGGGCTTTGTGGGAGGCAGGGAAGGTGAGCAGATGTGTCTGATGTCATGCTGGTGATTACTGAGTGATTTCTGGATTAGCCTTTCACACTTGAGGGTTCACTGAGCACTGGCACTTCCTGCTCCTTCTCCCTGTTTTCTTTGCTTTGTAAGCCTTCCCCCCACCTCCTCTTTGCCTCACTCAGAAGATTTATATGAAAACATTTTTTAGGTTGGCAAAGGACAAATAGCTTCCCAGAAAACACACAGCACAGTAAGGTAAAGAGAACAGCGTGTGAGGCCCCCACTCCCCTGGGGCTGAACCTAGGAAGTCTCCAGGAAGGAGGACTCAGCACAGGACCAGAACCGGGTGGGCCCGCGGGACACTTGACCAAAGTGCAAAATTTGGTGGAGGGGAGGAAAAGCTTAATAATCAAGGCAAATTATGTTTTCTAACAAGGTTTAAAAAATATCAAGTCGGCTTCTTGTTTTTGGAAATGAAATTTCGGTGAGGAAATTGGGTTAGACTTGGGGACCAAAGCAGAAGACGAATTCTGTTCTAGAGAGTGCTCAGCTTCCAATTTCACCCACAAATGATCTAGAACAAGTTTGATTTCTTTGGGGATCCGTGGAAAACGGAAAGAAGACCACACGTCAGTGGCCGCTTTGGATCACAGCAGAAGCCTCAGGCGGGGCAGATTTTGAGTGTCTGGTTTACACAGACTGGTGTGATAGGCAGGGGCGTGTAAATACAAAACAGGTTCTGTGCCCCACTTCCTGAAATTTTGATCTTTAATAT